GTCAGACGAACGAAGCGTTGCTGATCTCGATTGCGATCTCCTCATCGGCAAGTATCCGTACAAAATTTGAAGCTACATGAAAATCGAATTAGGGTTCAGCTAATTTGTTGTTAATTACGTCGAGCTTGATAAAAAATTTGTCATGTAAAAATCGAGCAACGTAAATTTGCGATAAATCGCGCCGCGAAGCGCGAGCAGTATTTTAAGTAGAAAAATAACGTTAGGGTCAGACGAACGAGGCGTCGCTGATCTCGATTGCGATCTTCTCATCGGCAAATATCTGTACAAAATTTGAAGCTACATGAAAATCGAATTAGCGTTTAGCTAATTTGTTGTTAATCACGTGGAGCTTGATAAAAAATTTGTCATGTAAAAATTGAACGCGATCGAGCAACGTAAATTTGCGAAGAATTGCGCCGCGAAGCGCGAGCAGTATTTTAAGTAGAAAAGTAACGTTAGGGTCAGACGAACGAGGCGTCGCTGATTTCGATTGCGATCTTCTCATCGACAAGTATCCGTACAAAATTCGAAGCTACACGAAAATCGAATTAGCGTTCAGCTAATTTGTTGTTAATCACGTCAAGCTTGATAAAAAATTTGTCATGTAAAAATCGAACGCGATCGAGCAATTAAAGCCACTCGAAGAGCAAGACATCGTCTTCTTCTAACAGCAACTCGCTCGTTTCCTCTTTCCGACATCGGTCAATGACCGGGATATATCTCCAGAAACACCTCGTATCGAACATTAAGAGAATCGCAGACGATCCTCGACGAGATGGCTTTTGTTCCGAGAACGACAGATCGCCGACCTGTATAATTCCTCGGAGAGTTCCAATAATTTTGATATGTAAATACAAGGTGGAATCTCCTTGTCTCGCAATATTGGCCTGATTAAAATATCTCGGGTGCTTGGATTATCACCGGAACTCGTCGTCGTCGTCGAAACTGTCCCAGCCAGACATCTTATCCCATACTTGGGAACCTCTTTCGACCGGAATAGTCGATCGAATTATCCAACCGATTTTTATTAAATACGAAAATGCTGGCAATGTTCAAATGTTTTTCTTTTAATTGTAAAACCTCCTTTTTTAATTATTTATATTTAAACTTAAAAATTAAAGAATCACAAAAAATATATACAATATATTTAATTTTATATCTAAATTCTAATGTTAATTTTGCACAAATTGATAAATCGTTTACTGTTAATCCATTATTCTGCTCAAAACACTCGACAATTTTATCGTAGCCGATTTGTGACCGGCATATTCGTGAAGACCAAAGGCATATCCCTCTTCTACTAGAATTGAAAGACCGTACGTTGTTCTCGGTGAATAATAATTAGCGGTAAGCACCGACGATTCGTCGAGCATCGGGACAATTTAAGATTTTCATCTCGCGATGTCTCCTGATATCGAATTTATCCCCAGCTTCGCACGAACGCGACGACAGAATTAAAGATAAAAAAAAGAGACGTGCTGACTTCGATGAGGGTGAATGAACAATTAATAGCGGGAGGGTGACTCAATGTCGGCTAGGGATGGCGAAAACGCGAGGAGGCAACCGGGGTTATAATGACGAGGCACTAAATAACAGCGGCGACCGTTAAGGAATGACGAGATAAAAACCTTCTTGGATCGTTAGCAAGCATCCCGGCCATTTCTTATTTTCTCTCCGCTCGATCTCTCTCGGTCCCTCTCTCTCTCTCTCTCTCTCTCTCTCTCTCTCTCTCCCTCCCTTCTATGCCATCCTTTACGCGAAATGGACTCCTTCGCTCCTCGTCGAATATTTCTCTCTTCTCCCGTCCTCTGCCCATTTTCTCTCTTTGCCCTCGTCTTCCTCTACTCAATTCTCTCGCACCCCTTACAGAAACTTTTAATGTAATTGCCGCGGGACGTGAAAACCGCTGATACCGTTGCCCCTTCCTCCTGCCCCCCTCTTGGAGAAATCCGATCCGTGAAAATAAGTCGAGATAGCGGCATCCCCTGAAATCCCACCCACTCGCTTTCTCGCTTTTCCTAGCCGCGGTCTCTCTTTCCCCTTTTCTCTCTTTCTTTCTCTAGCTCCCTTCTCGTCGAAAAATTGTTTCATCTGCTCCTGCCGAGTCCCGTTTAATTTCCACTCTTCCCAGACCATTCCTGATAACGTCGCAAACGTTCTCTCACCGAGAATCTATCTCCCTTTGCACTCCTTTATCGTGAGCTCTCTTTATACTCACTCTATGCTCTTCCTCTCCTTCTTATATTATGTATTTTACACTCGCATTTATTATTCGTTAACCACATGGTTCCTAATATTGTGCAGGAAAGTGAGAGACATGGAAATTTTTCTAATTTTACTAAAGATCGAGATTATCGCAAAATCTAAAATTCTCATCAACGCTGAAATATTTATTTATTTATGTAAGTATAAAATTTATGGAAAAAAATCCTTTAATACAGATAATTTGATTATAATTACTAACAAAAGATGCAGAATAAGATGATAAAAGAAAAATATGGGAATAATAATTTTTGACAAGTTACAATAAAGAAAATTTAAATATCAGAATGCAAAAAAATTAAAGATGATACGATAATAAACGTTTAAAGGTCGATTATTCCATCTTCTTGATAAATTTTATCCGACAGATAGCATATTTTTATCTCGTTCTAGATAAGTTTAAAATAACGAATATATGCTATCTTGGATAAAATTTATCAAGAAAATGGAATCGGCTTTAAAAAACTAAGAAACATAAAAAAATACACAAGATTAGAGAATTTATTTACCCATACCCGATTCAGGGGGATTTAAATTTACCATAAAAAATACAATGCAATTCCTTATAAAAAATTAAATTGTATCTAAGAGGCCGGGAGGTTGGAATATGCAATTCAATAAGTCAAAGCAAATAATATGATCATGCTAATCCAATTAAAGAGAAACAATAAATATAAAAAGTTTCTTTACTTTTTATGTTCTTATCTTAACGTTACTAACTTAAATTTAGTATGAAATTATATGTATAATTGAAGTAATATATTTGATTTCCTCCGTAAAAGTATTCTGTGGAAAGAAAACGATCTTGGATTAATTATTACACAATATTTAATTTAATGCCCAAACAATGGCGACATATTTCAGTTTAGTCTATAACCAATAAGAAAAATAATAATTTTAAAATATTAAATATTTTTAAAATTTTTACACAAAATCATAATAAATTTAAATTGTAAAACGCACAATTTGTGACTATTTATTTACGTTTTTAAAATAAGAAATCTAATCTGCAAATTACTACATCTAAATCACGAATGGGGTTCATTACCGAGAAATCCAATATAATCTACAAAAATAATGACGTATATAAACATTTTTTCCAATCGTCATTAATAAATCATCAGTGTTATCAATGGGATGAAATATTTCAGATCATTTGCATACAATAGAAATTAAAAGCGCGCTTAGAGGCACCTTCTTCGTCATATATTATTAATAAAAAATAATTCTCCGTGAACGCTCATGAGATAGCGTTACTTAAACGTTATACAACCAACGACCACGCTTTACTCCAGTTTGAATATTGCGAGCGCTGGCCTAATCGTGCAAGCAATTACAAACGGGGAGCGTCACTCGGGCTGCCCGGTCGCTGAAGGCCAAGAAGACGTCTCGGCGGACGCCGGCGATACCGAAACGCCTCTAACGATATTATTACGCGGTTCATTTAAGTTAGATAACAATGACTGTCTATGGCCGGCGCGCAAGGAGGGAAACGCGCTACAGTATCCGCCACATCTCTCGCTTCCACCCTAATTACTTTCCGGCCTCCGGCGGCGGCGTCAGCAGCAGAGCGTCGGAGAGCAAGGGTAGCTCGGTAAGGCCATCTTCATCGACCTATTCCTTCCTTGTCTCTCCCTTTACCTACCCTTCCCATCCTACCAAACGGACCTTCGACCTAACACGGCGTAAGATAGGTAAGGTAAGTAGATAGGCACGACGTATCCAGGTCGAGCACCTGGCCGGCTCGTCTATTCGCAAGAAGAGGGCAAGAGGAATTCCTTCTCTCGCGCTCCCTCTTCGTTTTATTTCTTATACTCCAGTTTAATTAGTTCCCCGATAATGCCCGCTATCTCTCCTCCGCAGAGCGCGGAACCCAACCCCGAAGCCGGAGAGTCTGAACATACCGAGCCGTCGTTGGTCTGAAACGATTCGTCTAGCATCCCGCAGTGGCGTTCCAGTACCGATCGGCTCGACTACTTTCGCCCGTCGAATTTAATTTCTCAACGATCGTCGCTGCGAACGCACGCGCTTCTGTATATCTATCTGGGTTATCACCGATGTGGAAATTCGGTGCATATCTGAATATAAATAATACTCGTTCGACTATATGTCATTGTCCGAAATTCCGATAATTTTGACGACATTTTAAATGATTTGTTTTGAAAGCATTTTGAAAAACGACAAGTCGCTGCAGCCATATAGTTTTCGGAAGTTATTATCGAAAATAATGGAGATAACATTTTATATTTAATTTCTCATCACGTTTTTATGACTCTTTCAATTCGAATTAGATATTAAATTATTTTTTATTCAATTCTTTATATGCAACAGGAGTTTGGCGAGCAAAAAAAAGGCAGAATTCATCGTGTAAAATATTTTACACAGTGACACAACAGTGAAATATCGAAAAAATATTGACGAGTAAAAATCGAAATGACAATAATTTGATATTTAGATTCATAAAATGTTTTCAAAAATTTCTTTCGTATCGCTTTCTTTATGACATGCAATTTTAATTCTTATTTCGTAATTTAATTCAAATATTAACATATTGTTAAATGGAAATAAAAACCAATTGTGCCACTTATTTTATGTTGCAAAGAGATACTTAAAAATAATTACTATTCACACGTTATCATGTTATCGATATCATGACCTTATCCAAGTTATCTTATCTAAAATTTTAAAGCTTAAAAGCGAACCGCACATAGAAGTCGACAGTAAATTTAGAGATATCGATAGTGCGAATTAAGGTTATATCTAGTAATAATGTTAAAATCAATTATCATAGTGTCAATTTTATGGATTATTGCTGATGCTGCTCGCATTCTTGTAGTTCTTCTAGAGCCATCTTACAGTCATCAGGTTTCTATACAATTATTCTATTTTTTATATATAAAAATTTTTGTTGTATTATAAAACAATTTTTATAAATTTTTGTCTCTTGATCTTTATTTTGTTTCTTTTTAGATTATCTTAGAATATTTTATTAAATTTAGATTTTTAATTAGATTATATATTATTAAACGCAAGCGTTGATAAAACGTACTTTCTAAGTAACTTTTAAAATATTTAAGGCCAGTTCTTTCAACTTTTTGATCAATTTTATCCGACAGACGACATATGTTTATCTTTTTTTAAACTTATTTGAAAAGAAACGAAGATATGCTATCTGTCGGGTAAAATTTATAGTTAAGAAGTTGAAACAACCGTTGAAACAAAAGCCTTATTATCTCTGTCTAATCTTCAAACCTTTTGTAATTTTTTAATTACACTATTTTAATACAAGAAAAAAAATTAACTTTACTAACTGTTGCATAGACAAATTATAATTATTGCACCTTATTTAAATCACCAATTTTCCTCTTGTTTCTAATCTTCGCTCACATAACTTCGTTATAATATAAGCTTCAACAATTAACAAGATATCTATATAAATAGATCGATAATACTGCGTCGAAAGTATAAAATCCGAAGATCTACGAATACTCCTGAACACGGCGAATAATCTGCAATCCTAACATATAACTTTGCAACAAAATAGCACCGGGTTATCGATCGATTGGCACCAGTCGGCCGAAACGCCGACAATAACTCGCGCCTTTCGCGTACGAACCGCGTAGCCGATTTCCAGGCAAGCTTCCAACCAGGAAACGATTCAACCTGTCCAAGTCGTATGTTTGTTTTGGAATAGCCGCAATGTGCCCTTTTCCCTTCCCTCTCTCTCTCTCTCTCTCTCTCTCTCATCAAACAGGTCGTCTTTCTGGTGGTGGCGTCGCCGCCGCTATCTCCCACCGCCACCCATCGTCCATCCGATACGCGAACCCAACCCTCTTCGGTGGTAGCGGCGGCAGCAACTCCAGTGAAAGAGCACCCTTTCGGGGTTTGTGATGCGTGCAGATGGTCGTGCACAGGGAAATCACGCGTGGCTGCGCACAACTGCGCGGCTACACCAAATGCAAAACGCTCGGCGGACCGACGCCAATTAGGCCAATGACGCTCCTCGTGCTACCTATGATAATGGTAACGTTGGTCTCCCTTCCTCCCAGTTCACATCGACCTCTACGTCCGTAGTTTTCCGCCCTCTCCTCCCGATATAACCTGTATGCGCCCCTGCGCAATGAGATGTCGAAGAGGCAATTGGGAGCACGATCACAGTTGCCACTGTCACATCCGCGGGAAATGTTATATTTTAGAAGAACGCGGCGATTTCCACGAGGAATCAGTTATGTGTCAAAAATAAAAAATATTGGATTAAATTATTATATATTAAAATTATATTAAAATAACAGTTCAACAACAGCTAATTATAAGACAGAAAACTCAATTAATTGACATTTAATTATAAGCCACCTATATCCTTATAAGCGCATGATATTATTTAATATTTAAGCAATATTCTAGGCGTATTTTTAGAATATTTAATATTCTAAGAATACGCCTAGAATATTAAATAATATCATGTGCTTATAGGGATAGTTCTTCCTAGTAAAAAACCACTAGTTAAAAAGACGTCGAATCAACGTCTTTTACACCAAATTTGGCCTAGAATATTGCTTAAATATTAAATTTCTAAGAATACGTCTAGAATATTAAATAAAATCATGTGCTTATAGGGATAGTTTTTCCTAGTGAGAAATCACTAGTTAAAAAGACGTCGAATCAACGTCTTTCACACCAAATTTGGCCTAGAATATTGCTTAAATATTGAATTTCTAAGAAATATACGTCTAGAATATTAAATAAAATCATGTGCTTATTATAAGGATAGTTCCCAGTGAGAAATCACTAGTTAAAAAGACGTCGAATTACCAAATTTTCTTTTTAACTAGTAATTTCGCACTGGGTTATGCCATTGGATCTTAGGGTACATTCCGTTTCACGCATGATGCACATGATGCATCATTTATCCTTGTTTAACATTTGGTGAACAACAAGGATAAATGATGCATTATGTACATCATTCGTGAAACGAAAAATGTACTCTTTTACTCTCTGGACCTCTTTTCCTCTCTTATTCTTCTGTTTCTGTTTTCTTATAGCATTTATTCACGAAAACACAATTGCGCGCACACTAGTCAACAGCAAAAATGTCAATAAATCTACAAATGTCATCACATTATCTCTCAAGATAAGATCATAACAAGTACATACATTTTACGTAATGCCGATTACACATTTTTTACAAACAAGTAAGAATTATCAGCTTGCACAATTTAATTAATTGTCGCGTTTGATAATTCGTAAGAATATACGGCTATTTAAAATTAAAGTTTTGAAGAGAATATTCAGAAATATATGATATATATGTTAGTATACTAACTACTCATGTGATAGATTTAGATAGAATCGCGTAAAATACGTGAACAAAAATTTCACAAATATTATTACTATAACGTTAAAATATTATACCTTTAATGCTATTTTTTGAATCATTTTACTCATCGATTAATATATCAATCTTTCAATTCAATGTCATGCATATTATACTTATATATAAATAAATAAAAAACTGAAAACTCAGGATGCGAAATATATTCGAGTTCAAACAAATTACAAAATGCAATATTATCGCTCATATAATATCGCGATGAAACAATTTATAATTTCCACTTTCCATCGCTACATGATTTCTACTTCGAATTAATATATTGCAAAATATATGCAAAAGATGAATATCTGTCGTTCACCTTTACGCGTTGCTTATCGTAAAAATTAGTTAATCGCACGAGCTGATAATTGTAGTAATCATAACAGATAATCGTCTTTGATAATTCTCAATATTTTTTACGATCGCATCTCGAAAGGTCATACACCTCTGCCGCACGAATCAAGGCTGTAAATAACAACAGCACGCTATGCCTTACACTGGGTAATAATTTGTATTGTTATTATAAAATATTTAATATATTACGAAATAAACGCACAGGGAATATGTCTCTTGAATTTCAAATTAATAAACGCTTGACGTTACTTTAAACGCTCGATCCTGTGATTCGTATCACATTCTTTATCCAAAAATAATTAACAAATTACATTTGAATTAGTAAAAAGTTTAAAGTGTGAGGCAAAATGTTATATACATTCAATATTTCGATATTTAAATAATATTTCAACCATCGCTCATAAATATCGCAATAAAATAAACAATAATTTATAATTCCAATCTTTTATCGCTCACTATTATATAAAATTGTGTATTTGCATACTTAAAATAATTTAAATATACTAGATAATCAAATAATACTTATCAATTTTAAATTATCTTGGAATCTTAATTTGATATGTCAATCATTCAAATCACTTCTCTAAAAGCACTAATATATAAATCTAAACACCTTTCTATCTTCCTATCTTATATATAGATAGATAAAAATGATAGGAAAGATGATAGGAAACACAGCTCAAAACTTTAGCATCTCTTATTCAAGTTATCTTATCCGTGTAATGATATCTTCTTCTTCTTCTTAAATTCTTTTTGAGCCAGTCGCAAGTGCGACTGTCGGCCATCAGTGAGTTATATTTTGAAAAGATATTAGACCAGAACGGAACACAAAGGAAAAAAATTTTTCAGACGAAACACGTCTAAACGTACTATTATATACTTTTAATAAACAGTAAAACTGCTGTTTTTAACTAAACACGTCAAATGGACGTTCTTCTGGTGGCATAACTAAACTGTTTTCGAACAATAAAACAGGGCAGGTTCGATCGTTTGCTGAACGCTCTCTCGTCATTTGTGTGCTAGTAGGGATATATTTGTGTCGACGCGCGTTTGCAATGGTCAGAAAATAACAAAAAAAACCACGTGACTCCAAGAGCCAATCAAACTTCGGAGTTGGGACATTTCTTATTACAGGAATTTACTAAAGAGCTAAACTAAAATTTAAAACAAGGCTTATGATAGACCTTCTAGTGTAGAGAAGTCTTCAGTCACGAAAGGTTCTGTGCATATCTTGTGAAATGTTGTTAAAATCAATTTTAATAGTGTCGATCCTATGGATCCATTGGACGATTATCGCTGATACTGCTCGCATTATTGTGGTTTTACTGGAGCCATCTTACAGCCACCAGGTTTTTTCTCTATTATATAAAGAATTTTATCATCTTATTGTAAAGTAATGTTATGAGTCTCCTTAAAACTTTCTTAAACAACGCCAGTGTTTTTATATTTAAAAGATGCATCTATTTTTAGATATCTTTAAAATTTCATGAATTTTTGCCTAAAATTGAATATAATAATAAAACAGAGAAATAGAATACTTTTAAAATTTGTTCTTAACTTAACTGTCTTTATACATAATTATGTATAAATAGTTTTGAAAAAGATATTTCTATTACATTATATTTAAATGTTCATGTATTTATATACAAGGAAGCTTTATTTTATATAATAAACATATGTACAATATATGTCTATAGAAAGCTTGTAGAAATATAAAAATTTTCGCGAAATATATTCAGATAATAGTTATCCGCAGTCAAAGAGCTAAACATTATATGAAAATATTTTAAAGCGGTGCTCTTTATTAGGACACGCATCTTGTGTGTGAGCTATGTTTAAAATTCAGTTATCTACATAGCCTTTATCCGCTTTACATCGTAGAGATTTGCACGAAAAGGCGTGCTCTTATATACGATGCGAGATATTAAATTCCTTACTTACGTCGGTTTATGGATAAAGAAAACTAGATGAGATGTAAATAAAAATTTTAGCACATAATTTATACGAATATATTGTAAAGATATTTTTCAATCAAAATCTAATATTTCTTTCTATAATATTGCTTTGTTAGCTTCAAATTTCTATAAGGAATATCTTTATCTATTTTCAAATTTCGAGAAGAGAGATATTTTTATACTATATCTTGTATAGAGGATATTTTTTATATAGGAAGATATATGATCTTCTTTCTTCGACAGAGTCAATTCTTCCTCGGCTCGAAACAAACGTAGCAGCGTTATTCGAGAATTAGTTACGTTCTTTTTTCTTATTGAATCTGGGTAACAATAGCATGAATGCATAGATAGAGCTAAATACTGGGAAACAAAAGATGTTTTGTTAAAAAGAAACTATAGAACGATATTTCTCCCTTACCTGAAAAAGGAATTAAGACTGGCAAGACCTTGACTAGCCAACATCAGACAGAAGCGCACAAAAAAATTTTGGAAGTTGTAGAAAATTAAATCAGAACAAATATGCAGCGTAAAGGTTCAAAGTTTAATACATAAAATTTGATATCTTTTTAAGTAAATGAAAAATATTGCCAAGCGTCCTGATCGGTCTTAACTTAAAGAAAGACGATCGTAAAGTTGCATTATTAGGGGTGGTTATTTAATGTATTTTCTTAAGGCTGAAATTTTTATCAACTCGCGTTCTCCAGACCGTTAGATCGGTCTGGCTTTCCACATATATTACTTTGATAGCATCGAAAATATGCTGTAAAAATTTCAGAAAACACTTTTGTTCCCCAGTATTTCAACTCTATCTATGCATTCATGCTATTGTTACCAGATTCAATAAGAAAAAAAGACGTAACTAATTCTCGAATAACGTTGACTGCGGTGCGTTTGTTTAAGCCGAGCGGGAAAGCCCAAATAGATCTATGACAAGAAGGGTCAATGACCACAAGGGAAGGCCCAAATAGATTAATGACTAGAAGGATCAATGACCACAAGGGTCACTTTTATTCTATTCAAAGCCGTTCACTCAATGGTCCCTTTTTTAGCAAGAGAGCTTTTTCTCACAACCGGACTTTGCGCTATTATTGGAGTTGGAAAGAAACAAGAATGGGTTTATTTAATTAATTAAATGCAGATTTACATAGGATTATTTAATTAATTAAATGCAGATATTCTTCAAATTATTTATATATTTTATTTTACGATAAAATAAATTTGATAATCGTTGATATAATCAGTCAGGAAAATTAGAATATTATGCATAAATGCAATATGTGTTGTAGTAATCACATTAAATTTGTTTATTTCTATTTCTTTGTTCATTCTCTTTGTTCTTCTTTATTTGTAAACTTAAGAATGAATGAACTTAAAGAAATTTATCCTCAAAAGCACAGAAATACAATATATATATATATATATACATATTGTAAAATATTAAATATATTATGTGTGCAATTTAATCGATATTACAATATATTAACCTGTTGCGCACATGAGTTTTCACACTACATTTACATCTGCTTTATATTATTATCATACAACATAATAAAATTAATTGATTAATTTTTCAAAGTTATTACTAATATTATTTTAAAGATATTATTAATATTATCTATTATAAGATATATTAATATTGAAAGAAAAGTTCAATATCACTTGAGAAACGTGATTGGATACTTAAATACTTATGACATTAATTATATTGTTACATGCTTTTTTTAAATTAGTTTACATGCTTTTTTAATATTAGTTTATGTACATAAAGAAATATGTCAATTCTAACGCTAAATATTCATTCAAATGACTATTTATTAGTATAAGACAAACATTAGCAATTTTGTTGATGTGCATAATATAATAACGCTATACAAATTTGCTATTCGTAAACATAATAATTTAAAACACGATCTACACTCCATTCCTCTCAGCCAATAGAGCCACACGCGATGTTATTGCGACAAGAAAGAATTTGGAAACTAAGGAATTTGTGTCCTATGGTTGGGATCTCAGAAATTCCTCTTGTTCCTCTCCTCACTTTCCCTGTAAAGGGAAATAGGCGAGAAAAATATTGGTCCGAAAGTCGGCTGAATCGGGAATCGAACCCGAGATCTTCCGCTTTCCGGGCGACTGCTCTTCCAACTGAGCTGAGAATAGCTATTGATTTCTAAGTGTTAGAAATCAATATTTCTCTCAATGTTTATACCTCCAAAGCGTCGTGATTAGGCCCAGACGCGACGAAACAATCGAAACAATAATAAGAATATTAAGTCGGCTCCTTAATTTTTAAAACACGATCTACACTCCATTCCTCTCAGCCAATAGAGCCACTCGCGATGTTATTACGACAAGAAAGAAAGAAAATTTGGAAACTAAGGAATTTGTATCCTATGGTTGGGATCTCAGAAATTCCTCTTGTTCCTCTTCTCACTTCCCCTGTAAAGAAATAGGTGAGAAAAATATTAGTTCGAAAATTTTGCCGCCTATTTCTTTACAGGGGAAGTGAGAAGAGGAACAAGAGAAATTTCTGAGATCCCAACCATAGGATACAAATTTCTTAGTTTCCAAATTTTCGGACTAATATTTTTCTCACCTATTTCTTTACAGGGGAAGTGAGGAAAGGAATTTCTGAGATCCCAACCATAGGATACAAATTCCTTAGTTTCCAAATTTTCTTTCTTTCTTGTCGCAATAACATCGCGTGTGGCTCTATTGGCTGAGAGGAATGGAGTGTAGATCGCGTTTAAAAATTAAGGAGCCGACTTAATATTCTTATTATAATAATTTAAGTTTAAATATTTAAGTTATTATGATGCTTATAGAAAAATTTTTCAGCTTTTGTTCTACCTTATTGTTTATCATTAAGAAATTATATTTTTACTAACTGCAATTTTTACTAATCTATATTAGCATTTTAAACAAATTTAATTTTTTTTTTTAATTTGATTTATAACAATATTTATATTATAATTATTTACATGGTTTGCTATAAACAAACATTGACAAGCATGTACTTAGAAAAATGTGATTACTACAACACATATATTGCATTTATGCATAATAATATTCTATTCATAATTATAACAAAATAAAATCTATTTTCCTGACTGATTATATCAACAATTATCAAATTTATTTTATCGTAAAATAAAATATTCTAAATAATTTAAAGAATATCTGAGACAAACCCCTATGTGTGATAAAATCTTATAATTACATCTATAATATATCGTAGTATTTTATAATAATAATCATAAGATATTTTTCAAATACTGTATAATTATAAAACTCTTTCTATATATATATATATATATATATATATATATATATATATATATATATAAAAGATATCAAGATTATGTTATAAGTATATATTGTGTATAATTATAGGCCTCAAATATATTACTTATCACTTTCCATAGCTATAGAAATCTATAAATATTAAACATTATAATTACATTAACTTTATAGGTGGCTTACAGACCAATAATGATAGAATTGGCTCAAAGGGGTCACGAGTTGACCGTTTTTACGCCGATTCCCATGAACGATTCGTCTCTTCAGAATTATACCGAGGTGAAATTGGAGTATTCCTCTTACAAAGTGGACGAGAAAATGGATGTATTTGCGTATGGTAAATTAGGGGTACAGTCGATTTTAGATGATTTCTATCATCGTAATGAAGAAATGACCGATAGTGCGCTATCCAATCCTGTCATGCAGCAATTAATATCACCGAACTACACCGAGAAATTTGATTTGGTCATTGTCGAATTCCTGTTTTATGACGCATTTTATGCACTATCGTACCGCTTCAACGCACCGCTGATCGGAATCTCATCGGCATCGCTTCTGACTGTTCATCATTACGCATTTGGTAAGCGGAATGTTTAGTATTCGTGCATATGTATGTACGACACGTGTATAATTATGTCATTAATGTAATTGTGTTTCTCGTGTCGCAGGAAATCCCATATTATGGTCTCATTTGCCGGATTTATTAGTAAATGATTTAGATGATGAAATGAATTTTATACACCGTTTTTACAACGCGTATTATAGCCTTTTTCAAATATATTGGCATAAATATAAAATTATCCCCGTGCAGGAGAAGATGGTGCGGAAATATTTTGGGGACAGTGTGCCACCTGCTCACAAGCTTGTCTCAAATATGGCATTACTTTTATCAAATTACCATCCGTTCCTTTCACCGAATCCTTACGCACAAGAAATTATTCCTATAAGAGGATCTCGTCCTATAATAACTCAGAAGAATCATAGTCTACCACAGGTGCGTATAAGAGTAATATAAACTGTAAACAGAAAATGTCGTTGCAATAGATGTGTATAATAATATTGCTATAATATTAAGAAATTCCTGCATCTTAAAATCTTTGGCACAAAAACATTCTACGCATACATATACACATATATTGTACAACATAAAAAAACCCTTGTAGAAATTTATCACTAATAACGCCAATTAATCACTTATTTCGAGTACTTAAAATCTACTGATATACAGTAATTTAAATACTCGAAATAAGTGATTAAATACTGTGATAAATTGGCGTTACTAGTGATAAATTTCTATAAGGGAAATATTACGAAAAGTTTCTAATATATAATACAAATACTGCTTTTATATCTCAATGTTGCAACATACAATTTAATTTATATAAAGTTAATTGAAGCAAAATGTGTGCATTTTTGTAGGATCTGCAGAAAGAATTGGATGACGCAACAAAAGGATTTATATATTTCAGTTTGGGCTCCAACATAAGAGGCGTTTTTCTGTCTGACGAAAGACGTAATATGTTTCGAAAAACTTTCGAAAAATTACCTTACAAAATAGTGTGGAAGTTTGAGTCTGATTTCCCGGATAAACCAAACAATGTTATTATAAGGAACTGGTTGCCGCAACATGAAATTCTATGTTCGTAATTTTCATCGCGTGAAACCTCTATATAGAATATTGTAATACTGTTGAGTGTATGTAATACTGTCGAAAATTTTCAATTATATAAACATTCTGGGTTTATTTTATTTTAGCACATCCGAACATACGGCTCTTTATTTATCAAGGAGGCTTACAAAGCACCGAGGAAGCGATCGAAAATGGAATACCTATGATTGGCTTCCCCGTTGTAGCCGATCAGTATTATAATATAAAGCAACTGGTAAAGTATGGGTCGGGAAAAAGCTTTAGCATCACCGACGTGACTGAAGATGAGCTCAGAGAGACTATATACGAGGTCATTACGAATTCCAGGTAATTTCTTTGTTTTTATTTTTTTTATTAGCCGCGTGAATCCGTCTTTTTAAAAATATGCATGTCCGTACTTATTAATATCTCGATTTTTTTTACTTTTAATCTCAATTTTCAATTTAACTTTTATTTATTATTTCGTAAACAGTCATTTCTTTGAAACTATTATTTAATCCAATTTTGTCAAAAGCTCTTCTTTTAAATCTCTAAGTGGCAAACTATTCGTAGAACACAAAGTACGATTTTAATTCTTCTATAATTTAAATTTCTAGAATCTATAAACATAAGAAAATTGAGATCAACAATAGGAACAAATTTTGAGATGTTTAAGCCATTAATTCATTTGTGTCATCTCTCTACTTTTAGTTACAAGGAAAATATGCTGAAATTGCGCAACTTATTGCATGATAGACCGTACGATGAATTAAACTATGCCGTTTGGTGGATTGAGCACGTCATACGTCATAAAGGAGCACCACACCTTCGGAACAAATTGCGAGATATGCCCTGGTACAAGACTCAACTATGGGACATTATAGGATTTACATTGCTCGTATTGCTTGTTTCCGTTTATAGTTTATATCACTTTATTACTAGGGGACAACTATGGAACATAATAATAATTCTTACACTCGTATACTTGTTTCCGTTTATAGTTTATATCTTCATTATTATAAAGTTATTTACTTATATATGTAGTTTATATCACTTTATTAGAGTTAGTTACTACTTACGTAGATTATACTACTTAAGTACTAAATTACGTACTTATACTTACGTAATTTTTTCAAAGAACAGCAAATGCGTTTCCATAGAAAAGAAAAAGCAAGAATGCGATAATATTAAATTAAAGACACTCTAAAACGACATACTTACTGGAAATTATTTATAGAAAAAATGAAGTTTCTACGAGTACTTTTGCACGTTCTTTTGTATACATATTGTCGTTTTCACGTCTCAAATTACTCTGCATGTCGCAATGACTTGAAAGAAAAATTTCATCTCGATATCATCCATTTATTTTTCATCACGCAAGTGATGAAAAATAAATGGATGATATCGAGATGAAATTTTTCTTTCATATTGTAGTAAAACCACCAATTTTTCATTCTCGATTTAACGCGGATATAATGACATCTAGAAAAATTGTATTTTTTATGTAATAAAACAATGTACTAGATTAGACATATAACGAGATTGTTTCTTTCAAAGTCCCGAATTAAAGCGTATACTGATAATTTCAAAGTTATATTATATAATAAAGTTATTAATAATAATAGCACATATGCAAAAAAGAGATCAATAAAGTCATTGTTATACAATAATAACTAAGTTTGCTTGAAGATCATTTAATAGTACATGTGTATATAAAAATCATATACATTAAATTTTATAAATTATAATATTAAAACTCATATAACACAAATAGCAAGTATACCCTGCGAGGAAAATCGAAAAATAAAACGCTGATTCGCGTGTAAATTTAAATTTAATTATACAATAATACGCTGCAAATGATAACTCTCACGAATTTTCTGTTCGCAATTTCCGCGGTTGCGATATTCAAAATATACTCGTCGGAAAAATTGTTCATTTCTACAGGCACGTCCGCTTCGATGGCGGATGGAAGAGAGACGAATGGGGTGGAGAAGGGACAAGAGAAGGGGTGGAGGAGAGATTGGTGTACGTTTCAATAGCAATGAGCCGCGAAATTGCTTTACGCAATCGGCCATTATTTGCTTGAAAATTTCGCCGCGTATCCGCGAACGAGTCACCATTTGATATGATACGAAATATTATTCAATGTGCATCGCCGAGCGCGTTTGATTGCGCGCCGATCGCGCAATTATTGATGGTAACGACGCGCTAGGATACCTCTTCCTCGCCTCGTGTATATAATAAAACGTAACCGCACGCGTGCACGCGTGTACACACGCGGTTAGCGCACCGGCGCCTCTGCGATTATAAATCGAAGGAATGGATCAAACACAGACTATGATGCAATATGACGGCCAAAATTTCAGATTTATAATTTATTACAGAAAACGTAATAGGGAATACGCCCTTGACATGGTCCTCAATTTGATGATAAAAATTGGAGAATAAATGTTACGCGAGTATATTTCAAAATTAATATTGTCCCTTTAAACCATCCTATCGATATCATTCAACGATGAATAATAAACAAAAATTTCACTACTTGATCAATTTTCAAATATAAGAATAACAAAACTTTGTAATATTTTTTAGTTAATTATTTAATTAACTAATATAGTATGCGCTATATCATTATTTTTAAAATGTCACGTTACATGTAAATTAGCATCAACAATATTATAAATATCTAAATGTTTCGTTCAATTATCCTAACAAAGATATTTATATTGATATATGTAGAGCGAAATAAATGCAATCTTGTATTTCGCGAAACATTCAAGGTTGTTTCGTCACAAGAAACGAGGACTCAAATAGAATTCGAATTATAGCAGCATTCAAAATAATTCATATTTCTAAAAATTATCACTGCAGCTATTGAATTTTATATATAGCACGTACAATATAATTAAATTATATTAAAAAAAAAAAAATAAAAGACTATTTTTTTAATATAAACTTTTCTTTTCCTTAGGTTAGTTTTATTTTTCCTAATATTAGTTTTTAATGTTAGTTAATCCTCATCTCAGAAAATTAAAATAAATTTTAGTGCTCTGCATTGAAGCATTTAAATAATTAATTTTTGTAGAAATAGAAAAAATTTTATTTTGACATCTGCGCTATATTCACTTAAATCAATTGAATCATGAAGTTCTCATTAAATTTTTCTACGAAATTCTTTTTGAAGAATTAAAAGTTTCAAAGATAATATTCAATTTAAAGAAAATAAGATTCTTTTCCAGTGCATCACATATTATTGTAGCATATAACAAAATTAAAAGAACAACCGGTAATATGTAAAAAAAAATTACAAAGATTGATTCACTTATTTGTTTGAATTTGAAGAAAATGATTTCTTCTCGAATCGTGTAATGATTCGAGAAGATGTAATTGATTCGAAGGCTTCCATTTTTCTACGAGCATCTTATCACGCGTAGAACCATCCCCGATAACGCCAAGTTCGAAGTCTATGTTAAGGGAAGGAGAAAGTACAGACAGACAGAGAGAGTGAGTGTGTATAAGGAAGCAGCAGCGCGACGGCGGTCGGGCTGAAAGGGGCGAATACCTTTTAGGAGCTTAGAGATTACACTTGGGGGACGAGCTGGCAGTAATGCAAAGGTGAGTCTCGCGGGCGCAAGCCGCTCATTCCCACGAAGGATTCGACTGAACTTATAATACCTACGATGTGGGATCGGTTGCGGCACGCTTCATACCCTCTCCTTCCAGCCTCCTTCTCTTCTCTCTCTCTCTCTCTTACACTATCGTTTCATTGACACTCTCAGTTGATCACGTCACGCGCGCTTGACGCATTCATAATTCAATATCAAATGCGAATCGCGTCGATTTCGCCCCGATAGGGCTTACGAAATTACACCCGGATTCGATTGATTGCCGATTTATCGAACAAGGAGCTTTCTTTATTAATTATGAAGCAGTAAAGGATCTATACGATTGCAGAAAATATTAAAAATAAGTGTAAATCAATTAAACGAATACTTTTTGATAGTCCGAAGTATCTTACATTGATATATCTTTATATTTAACATGTGGTATATATGATTTTTTTCTTTTTAGAGAAGGTTGGATTTATTCTTAATAATTAGATTTAAAACAATTTGTCTTGCCCGTATAACGACGAACGTCTCTCTCCGGGATTTTTACCGCTAGCAAAGCAACGATGAGACTTGTCATTCAATGCGAGAAATACCTTGAATAGCAATATCTATTATCGCGGGATTACACTTGAACGGACATCTCGTTTCATCGTGATCGGATTAGGCTTTATAGGAGCGAGGAGGAAAGGGAAGGTATGGATCGAGTGAAAAAGGAAGCGGGAAGATTTCTCAAAGAAGCGGGGAAGAAGAGTGAATATCGCGTCATAGGAGACGGTATCGCTTTAATCCGCCACGGGGAAATCTTGTAAATAATCGAAGCAATTATCCGGCTCGGTGGCACGGAGACGACAACGATCCTGCAAAGAGCTCAACGCGAGAAGAGAAAAGGAGAATATCTCATTTCATTTCATTCACGAATCGATTACTCGACGCGATTGAGAACTAGGTGATTCTTGCGACGAATTTGGAAAAAAATATTCGTGATTAGATTAAGACATAGACATGTACTTTCGAGTAACGATCATTCCTGTAGATACAGGTAGGAAATTGTAGGAGTTCTTCGTCCCTATCAGAGATAATATTCATACGATATGAACGCACTCAGCTCCAAGGGGGTAACCACTTAATGTAATCGTGGGACAGTGTCCCCGAAATCATTATGAAATCCTTATGAAATCCCGTGTAATCGTTTACAATCAGATGTAATTGATAAAGTCAAATGAAATCATGCGGAATCATTAGAAATCATATGTAGTCAGCAGAAATCATTTTGAATTTTCGTGTAATTATTGGAATCATGTGTAATCATTATGAAATCTGTGATAAAATTATGTGTGGCACGAGCACTTTCCGTAGTAAATTGCGATCAAATTCAAGATAAAATGCTATTTATAATTTTATGTGTCACATAAAATCCTAAATGATTACATGTGCAATCACGAAAATGCATTGTGTAATCAGATGAAATCATTACTTTTATGAAATGATTTCATATGTAATGAAAAAAATCCATTTGCAATCAGATGAAATCATTTATAATCAGATGAAATCGTTTGTAATTAGATGAAATCATGAAATCAAATGAAATCATGAAATCAAATGAAATCATGTAATCTGTGGGACAACATTTTAGCTAGTGGTTACCCTCTCGCTCAGCTCCGTACGAGTAAAGATTAAACAAGGTTCTCCAATGATGTGTCGTAAGGCATAATTTCTCATCATTTATTTGCATCGAATCCTCGCGATCGTAAATACACACCCACCCATCTATTCGCATTAACGCACAATGTCTCTCCTCCGTGCCGTCTCTTTGCCGTTCTCGCAGTCGCTTCCCAGACAGTGTCGCGTATTCACGCGCAACAATCCCGGATCCTGTAATGTGCCGACGAAAGCTTCCCCTGCATGAATACCCAAGTATGCAAATGTCTCCGTGGCGACGTTAGAGACGTTTCTCCTCGCCTTCAAGTATCGCTTGAGAGTTTTCGTCGTTCGGCAACTACGTCGTGTCGTTTGAACTTGTTTACAATATACTGGACGTATTGACAAACTCGCATAAATTTAAGAAAAACCAGCGAATATTTATTTAAAAAACTCGCAAAAGTGCCTTATACTTGATTTATTTCAATAACACCCCAGATGATTGATTAACTGAAATAATTATTCATTATTTTCCGATATATTATCACGAATAGATTTGCCGTTTTATCAATTCTTGCATTTATTTTTTTTTCCAATTCACACAACTATTTTCTTATAGGTAAAAATTTTGATACATTGTAGAGAGATGAGGGGGTGCGAATGTTTTCTGTGTATTAGCTAAAGTCGATAATTGTAATAATGTATATACATATATATCGATTGCTTCACTGTTCTTAATTTTATATTGCAAATTTTCATTTAAATTTATGTAAGTTGAATTAAAAATGTCTGTTCTTTATTACATGCATGGCAAATTAAAGTCAATCTAACTAGGCTCAGCTTTTACTTGCTCATCCGGTTTTATTTTTCAGTTTGTTTTATATGTAGATATTATATATATTTTTTTATATATATATTTTTTAATCGTGAATTTTAAATTGCAAATAATGAGAAGAGAAGCGACTTGAAGCATTAGACAATTTGTATTTATAACAACTATAATAGCATTTTTATTCTAACGACTCAAATCCCAAACAAATTAACAAAAGTAAGTATTAGAAAAATCAGACAAAAATTAGCATTATTAATGATTACTGATATGTATATAGCAAGGGAGAAA